ATACCACAAAGACGTTATTAAAATTCTTTTTAAATTCGTCGAATTAAAACGAAAGGATTATCGGGAAACGAATATTTCCCGTTAAAGTTATTTTAGGTTTTTCTAACTTCGTTCTAGCAGAGAAGACGATGGTTCCATGCTACAGGTAAACGTATACGATCGCAAATTTAATAACTACCATCACCCATGCCCACCCCACTTAACCGCGGCACCCTCTTAGTAGTATATATCAGGGCACGTGTTTGATCTCCCTTAGAGAGATACCACCCTGGCCCACCACCTACTCACAGCCCCTTGTCCCCCTTTTTTATCCATCGTACTTTTCGATAGATACTAGGAAAAAAATGCACCCGTAGTAGTTGAGTCCACGTGCACGATTTTATACAAAGTTATCGTCACATAGCACGATTTTCCAATATCACACGTATATTACCAACACGTGAGAATAATCACATACATATATATATATATGTACACATACAAATGAAAGTATGTGCCCATGACTATGGACGTGCGAAATCTCAACTTTAATATCGTTTCTTTATCGGAAAATCGATATTAAATATCGAACGTCACCACTAGCCTTTCTTTTTTTTTCTTCTTCTTTTTTTTCCTCTCTCTCTCTCTCTCTCTCTCTCTCTCTCTCCCTCTTTCCTCTTTGTTCTTTTTTCTTTTCCTTTCTCTCTCTCTCTCTCTCTTTTTTCTGCTGTTTTATCGAGCGATTTTTCACGACGAAAGACATAAAAAAAAAAAAAAAGAAAAAAAAACGGGGAAATTTTCGACTTGATCCTACATACGAGATATGAAAACATGAAGATTGTTTTTAAATCAAATGTTACCATAAAGAGTAATAATAGCAAAATCATATGTATGTATCATACGTATGATACGTATGATATGTGATCTTTTGTTTAACTCGTTAAAAATAGACGAGGAAAAGAAAAGAAATGAAAGGAAAAAAAAAGAAAAAAGAGAAGAGAGAAAAAAAAGAAAAGAAAAAGAAGAAAAAAGAATAAATAAATAAATGAAAAGGAAAGAAAAGAAACGAACACTATAAAAAGCAAAGTGTTTGTTCGTAAAAATAAAATAACTTTTCGAATGGATCATCAATTCGTTGAAATGTTCCTAACGAAGATTTGATCTCGTTAAAAGACATCTTTGATAGAAGAGGACGAATCCATCCGAGGATGTTTTAAATACTTACATATATACTATACATAAATATACACATACGTATGAACAAGAGAACGAGAGGAACTAGGACGAGATTAGATGATAACTTACTGAGATTAATTGTATGATATTATTGTCCGTAAACAATGGCTTTGAGAATTTCAAGTATCCAGAGGAGGAAATGATATAAGAGTAAGAGAAAGAGAGAGACAAACAGACAGAGAGAGAGAGAGAGAGAGAGAGAGAGAGAGAGAGAGAGAGAGAGAGAGAGAGAGAGAGAGAGAGAGAGACAGAAATACACTTTCGGTCGAATGTCAGAGCTATTGTATTTAGAAGTGTCCGAGAAATCATGATGGCTATTCTCTCTTTCTCTCTCTCTCTCTCTCTCTCTCTCTCTCTCATTCTTTCACTCAGCAGAATAAATAGAAGTAGTAGTAGTAGTAGTAGTAGTAGAAGAAGAAGAAGAAGGAACCGTAATTAGTCATTATATTTTTAGTTATCCTTTTGAATGTATAATGAAGTAGGAAGAACGACGAAAGATCGAGATATATATATATATATATATGGATTCATAGAAGTAAAAGAAGAAAAAAAGTAAGTACCCCAGTTGAAAAGGATTTACCTTGATTATATGAAGGTTAAGACGTAGAATAGGATTGTATGTAGGAGATGAGGAGGAGGAGGAGGAGGGGCGGGGTAGGTGGGTGATGAGGTTGATAGAGAAAGGAAGTAAGAAAGGAAGGAAGAAGGTGGTGAAGAAGAAGGGTGTAAGGAGGTCTAACGAGGGACAAGATGAATGTAGCGTACGAAGAAAAAGGACGCGAAAGAAAGAGAGTTGTTGCATTACATTGTTCTGTTGGCTCGCTGACGAAAAAGAAATAGAGAAAGGTGGAAGGTCGGAGAAATCGTATATGTATCTCCATTTATATATATATATATATATATATATATATATATATATATATATATATATCTATGTATATGTGGAATATAAACGGTGACCTAACTCATTCTACGTTTCTTTATTTGGCAATGTCGTCGGTGGTGACACACCAAAAAAAAAAAAAAAGAAAAGAAAAAAAAATCGAACGAACTGTTACTACTACTATTATTACACTACTCTATTACTACTATTTGCTATTGCTATTGTTTTTGTTATTATTGTTGTTATCGTTAATGGTGATGTCATTACTACTGCAGCAACAGCTGTTGCTTCTATTATTACTGTGTTCGTTCCTTCTCTCTCTCTCTCTCTCTCTCTCTCTTTTTCTTTCTTTCTTTCTTTCTCTTTCTTTCTTTTTTTCTTTCCTTCCGCCTCACTTTCTCC